ACAGTCACCTCACTTATAATGACTTGGTTATCTTATCAATCTATTAGCTAGTCAATTTGTAAGGTCATCAGTCTTTCACTTATCTTGTACTTGTATCAAAAATGTTTCCAATACCTGAAAAATAAAACAAAGTGGCAACAAGTACAAAGTCGGAGGTGCTTGTTTAAATGATGTCCTGGATATTATTTTTATATTGTGTGGTTTTATGACAACTATACCTTAGTGTTGTTACGTAGAGTAAGTATAATAAGTATACTGTATGCAGTTCCCCAGACGAGGGTTATCTCAATTGACCTAATCTCGAGAAGACACTCCAACACAATCGAGTTCAAATTAAAATCGTCTGCGGATTGCACGCGCAAGGGGAACACTATCATAATATACCTATGTATGAGTACATACATAGTTAGGAGAGTAGAATGATGTGTGATTATGTTCTATAAACCTTTTTGTTATCATCTCAGTTTAACTACCCACTGTAGAATATAGCACTATCTGTTTTGTTAGTAGTGTCTTAGGTCAGGTATTAGTGTTAAGTATTTTCTATAAGAACTGGAATCACCTTTATGAAAATTGAACATATGTATCAACCTGTAAGGGTTCTAAAAAGGAGAGCCATCTTCGTGCATAAATTGTTTTCAATTAACAGAAGCTTGTACATTTGGAATCATCTTTAAAATAAATATATGCAAATAATAGCTTACTAATTAATGGTAACACACTTTCATTTCACATCTTTTGTCCTAAGTGACGCATGCTAGGGTACGGTGGTACTAGGGATTTATGTCTCCATCTATAATATTAACAATTAAAAAAAGATGAGTGTCCATATTTTGAATTAATCTTTCAAAATAAAATTTTAAGATATGTGCTGAATTTTGATGAGTCGACTTAAAAAAATTTCCAAAATTTGGTTCAAAGAAATACGTACCTAGATTGTTATATATGTTTCCTTATTTATATTACATACAATCGTGAGTTCACATAGGTACTTAAATTTCACGTAAAATCGTGGTGTAATGTTCTTATGACACGATGTGTAAATTACAACGCTATGTTGTAAGTCTTGGTAAATAAATCACTTTTACCCCTCCTGCTTTTGTATATTTTTAGTGTCAGGGGAATTAAAAATTTTGTATTATTCTTATTTTTATTATTCTACATAGTGTACGTTACCTGTAATACCCGAATTATACATTAACATTTACACTACTTATTCTTATTACTTATTGTTTTCAGGACTCCTGTTACATACTCTAAAAATATTTGTCTATCATTTACCTATCATTAATTTTGGGAAATTTTCTAATTCTATTTTCATATCTACTAATTTTTCTAGTATAACTTAGAAGGATACTTTTAACTCCATTAATAAGAATTATATCACGTGTGTCGTTAGAATAATTAATTTGTTAGGTATATGACTAGGCTAGAAAAGTTAGTCAGGTGAATGTGTTAAGTGTGTGTCCAGATTGGCAGTATGTTATATACTTAATAATAAACTACATGAACTCAAAAAACAAATTGAGAACAGAACTTTAAGAATAAGATATTACAGAAGAAAATAGATTTATTTTAAATTAATACACATTAATGATCTGCCTAAAAATCGTTTAGTGCGGACGCCGCCTTACCTATTTAAAAAAATTTTTTTCTTAATGTTTAAATGAGACATTCATCGCGAGCACGCCACGTATGACCGATAGGCCGGCCAACGACCTTCTTATCAATCATGTAAGTAGTGCGCTTGTACACCCAACGACTTATTTCAGTACTTCATTAGCTACGTATATAATAAACCTACCTTGCCACGTTGTCCTTTTTCTTTAATATTTTCTAATATTGTTGCAGCAGCTGGTCTTTATAGAGTCACTTTGCTTCACCGGACGTTTAACTCATTTTTTTTGTACACTCAGGCAGCTTAGGGTCGTTCTTTAGATGTTGTAGAGCAGACATCTCGGTTATGGCGACTTTTCACCGTACTACTAGTACGCACGCATCCTTCACCGTTCTGCCATGCTGCTTTCCTGAGATAAATTTCCTGCAGAAGGAGCTTATCACCAAGCATGACATCTCGATATTCAACATTCTTCAAATAAGATTCGACACCGAGATGCGAGGGCCAACTCCTGCCTTACAGATATGACTTTAGTCTGAGGGTTCAGTTAGGAGTTTGAACCTTGAATCAAACTATCGTAATAGGGATCCCCATTTGAATTCGACAGGGGACCCATCAGAGGATTACGTAATTAAATGGTACAAAAAAACTACGTGACCACTTTTATGCTGGGAATAAAAATAAGCATTCTCAGACTCCGTGTTATTGCCATTACACTATAACTTTAGACATTTATTAAGTATCGAATGTTATGTATACATTAGTTACGGTGACCAGCATTATGACTAGCTTATTCGTGTAACTATTAGTCAGAAAACTCATAATCATCAGGTGGGTATAAACAATAGCATTAACGAGCGAGCGAACTTCTGTCAATGGAGTAGGTATTGGTCTCTTAGGATGGTTTTTTTTTTATAAATTGTATATAAATGTAAAATGGTCTACACACGACACTAAAATAAGTGCCAATGCCGACAATATCAGCGCAGCAGTGGAAAGCATCCTGGAGCACTTCCTAGATCGTCTCGTCTGTAGATGTCTGATTTTATTTAAACCACAATTACTTCGATATCTAATAATAATTTTAGAATCGTGTTTACGCCGTTTTTAGGAATAATATTTTGAGGAAGGTATTACATATGAATGATGAAATTTTTCGGCCGTCCTTTGTCCTCATAACCATCCAGGTTATGAGGACAGAGGACGGCCGAAAAAGATATAGATGGACTGTATGCTAGATGAAGTGGTAAGAGAGGGAGTAAATAAAAAGATGACTGTGTGTAAGGATGAATGTAAGAGAAAAACAAATGAATGGGATAAGGAAGAAGCAGATGATAATTTATACGCCGTTTTAAGAATATCAACTTCTACTCACTTCTATTTTAGTTCACATACTCTACTTTGATTCTTATATATAATATTATAAAGAAAAAATAACAAGAACGTATTCAGTAGGGTTAACAAAAACGTTCTAAAAACAGTCAGACAATTTGGCTCAGAGAAGTATATCTATCTATTTCTTACTACTTTTCTTGTTAAGAACAATAAATCTTACAACTTCTTAAAAATAATAAGTTCCTGTACCTACGTACAATTTATTAAAAATAATACTTTTCCTATTAACAATTCCTAATTATAATAATTGTATTTCACATGGAACCATTACACAATTCAAAGATTATTTTCTATTCGCTAAAAGTAAGTACGTATAAAATAGAGAAGATGGAAAATGAGCCTGCGTCTTACCTACCCGATAATGACTTATATAACCTCAATCTATAGACTGTCTATATGCTACATCAGACTTGGTTATACCACGTTACACCTACTTTGCATTTTATACATATTCGGTTTTTAAATATACCTGTGTATTTTAATATATTAATTAGCCGTTCATTATATTGCACATTTAATGATAATAAAGAAGGATAAATAAATGGAACAGGTAATGAATAAAAAATTATTGAAAACAAATTGACTTGCAAGTTACTACTATTGTGCTACTACAGAATTGTAAATCACGATCAAATTTCGTAATAAAAAAAGTATTGTACATTGTCATAATTACTAAAAACATTTGCTTATCATGGCATAGTTGTGTATATATATACATAGTGTATTAACACTATCTAATAAAAAATTAGTACGAGAATTATCATTAAAAACCAAAAATACAACCGTATTGAGAACGTTCTTCTATTATATCGTTCAAAAACACTGAATGTGCTTCAACAAATTTTAATGTATGTTACATAGAAATATTACCATTAAAAAAGCATTTCAATCTGCTCAAATATGCCTAATTTATAAATGATATATTTAATGTGAATATAGAAAAAAATTCTATGGAATGTACCGAAAAAAAAACAGTTTGCTTCGTTTCGTTGTATTGTATGAAACATCTGAGCCCACTATCATGTTGACTACACCTATGTATGTAGTTGTTTGATCAAGTGTTGCTTATCAATACAGTGGCCGTTGTTCGAGCAATCAACGGTGTCTTTGTGGCCCAACCCTGTAGCTCTGACAACCCCACCGGATGCTAAACGACGAGTAGGAATAACATAATTTAAATCTTACGCAAAACATTCTGATAATTATGCTTGAACTAATTAATATACTTAAATAATACTTTATAAGTAATAATTATACAGGTGTACATCAATTATAATTATTAAGTAAGTAGAAAAAAAATCAATAAAGGAGAAATATATTGAAAGATTCTTCCATTAGTTATGTAAAAAAAGAAGACACATAAGGAAAAATATTCCTTTGGAATCTATTCTTTTCAAAGGCGCAAAATCTGCGTTATTAACTTAAAATCATTCGTTCAAGCGGTTTTTATGAGAAAACATAAGTTAATAATTGTTGTTCATTCAAACTGTTTGATATGTACCAATACTTTGAACTACTAATGCCCTCTATCGACTAAACAATAAATCACTGAGCAAATAATTATTACATATACAGTAAACAAAAAAATACACGAAAGATTTAATCAAACGATATTAACAGTTTCGTTTTATAGCTGTCAACGGCAGTTAATATATATTTCTAAATATTAATCCCAACTACGTATATACAAATTATAAAATGTATGTGTGACAATATAAATTAAAATGGTAAAATATATTTCATCCATTTGTATCATTCCGTTTTACGCAGTTTGAATTGAGTACTGTGTACAAAAAGTTTAGAAATTTAGTAATTATGAAATGTAATAAAACGAAATTAAAATTAAATATGCAATTATAGACAAAAATAAAATTTTGTTTAATAAAATGTAATTACGTTTCACACAAACGTGAATCAGTTATAACTGTCATATGTCAGAATTGCGGCAATTTCATTGTCATTGTCAGTAAGTCTTACTATTGTAAACAAAACAAAAATTACTTCACACATGACGACAAATGAAATAACTTTATCAATTGAAGGTCAGAATATTTGTATTTTAATCAGTTAACTTGGCCCATAGTGCACTCACGATTGTGAGCGACTATTCATTTTATCAGTATTGGCCATGGCGTCCACAATGTTAAAACTTCTGAAATCTGAAGTAAGTTTTCTTTTTTATAATTTGCTGTCTTATTTATCATAAATGCACTTCATTTTGTATATTTAAAGTATATGTATTGTTTATTAATAATATAATTATATGGTTAAATATCATATCATGGACAATCTTCGAATATTTGTGGTTGCTGGGTCAATCTTGATCAAAATGGAGTTTAATTTCATTAAACTACGATTTAAAATCTATTAACAATTTATATTTTGATACAGTATACAGCTAGAAAATACTTAATAATGATCTGTAATTATTGAATTGAATAAATGCCAACTATCAGTATGAATTAAAAAATATTAATTCCTATACAAGGATTTAAATTATATTGCCAAAATGAATTTACAAAATTACACTTTACCTTATGTTACCTTTACTATTTATTGGGTAGTTGTAGTACTGTATTATTGTAGTATAATTGTAACAAATTTGGTATGCCATGCCTCTATTATTAAAAATTTTATTATTTGCAATTCATACCATGTAGTGAAAATTATAAATATTTCCTGTCCACTATTCAGTAAACATTTTGTTGATTCAACTGCGATGCTTCAAAACTGTTCTGTTTTTTAAAACAAAAGTTAACATCATTTAGAAAAGCAATGAGGGCTTATAAATTATTCACATAATTTGGTATTTAGAATGGCTACATTATTCATAGTGGTGTTGTATAGTACATGTTGCGCAGTTGAATATTGTGTTGTTGTTTAAATTATTCACTATTGTAACATAAATAAATCCAATAATATGCAAAAGATTATGAGTATGCATATTTTTATTTAACTACAGTAGTAAACATAAATAAATCTAAGGATATAAAACATATTTAGAGTATCCATTTTTTTAACTACAGTAGTAATCAAGCTTGTTAACTACGTAATGTAATGTAATGTAATGTTTCCTAGAGACATGACAACATCACAGGTATCACAAAATTTTGATGTTTATGTTTTTTGTCATTGGAATGGGTAACAAGCTAAAGGCCCACCTGATAGTAAGTGGTAATGTTGCATATAAACAGCGCTATTGACATCATGTTATTATAATATGTTATTGATACACCTGATGCATTACCATTATTGAGAAATAAATTAGATATTCTTCCATACCTTGTAACTTTACAGCTAACTCTTCAAATAGGTATATGGAGGGTAAAGCTACTTAACTGCAGAAATTGTCAAAACAGCTACTAATATGTACATAGGTCCCCATTATTTGCTATGTAAACAAATGTAAATTATATTGATCTAATTTGAGATAAGATTTCCATCATTCATTTTTCATAAATCATTGGACACGATCAACAGTGGCATACTTCTTGTGAAATAATGCATACACTTTCAAAATTGATCTTTATACAGCACATTAAGTAGTCATTGGTTGTGAAACAAGAATCTTTCAAGTGTGTTTTGTTATTCTAGGTCTGTATAATAAGTTACAAAAAAATACTGTCATGGTTTTTCCTTATTCTTCCGATCACAATATAAGCTAAATCTGTTTGTACAATAATTTTAAAAAGTATTTATTTATTTTTGATGAAACAACTAATACTTATATATAATAAAAAAGTCCCGTAATGATTAAGTAAGTATTACTTACTTAATCATTAAGGGTCTTTTTTGAGAATTGACACTTGAGAATATTTTAATTTTACACTGAAATGAATTGTCCTTTCTGAAAGATATGCTTCTGTTTTGCTATTAAATATAAAATAATATATTTGTAGATACTACTAAAACTAACAAACTACTAATCTAAGAAAGTTTACATCTATATAGATATATATAGATGTAAACTTTCTTAGATTTATTGTAATTAATCTGTTTGTAGATAAAAAATCCAAAACTCTGCTATCACATTTTCTAGGTATGTTTAAAGAATACTAAAATATTGATGAAAATTTATTTCCTCAGTCTCAAGTACTGCTACGTAGAAACTATAGTAGCTCAGCTCCAACAACAAAGCTCTACATAGATGGGCAGTTTATAGACTCAAAGACAAGCAATTGGATTGAGCTCACTAACCCAGCCACTAATGAAGTCATTGGCAGGTAGGTAATTAATATTCTTTCTAAGTAACAAAAGTAACAAGTCTTGAAATGAACATATGTTGTGAACTAAAATACCTACTAGTGGTAAACAGTTAGGTTTCAATTTAATCTCTCCAAGTCCAATATAATCTACTCAACACATATTATCTTGCTTGGTTGTAAATATAATAAAGGTTTGTGTGTCTTGCAATGTATAACAGGTTTGGATCGGTATAATAATTTTAGTCAAGTTACAATTATTATGTGCCAAAGAATAGTACAGTAATGGCCAAATTCGTGTGCGGGCATTCCTTCAGTCTGGTATATGCGTGCGGAAAGGTTTTATAATCACGTGCACAGTGTAACGGAAAAAACACGTGAGTGAGCGCTCCTGTCTGCCCATACATAAATAATACGGCTTATTTTGCAGGAGTATCGTGTTCTAAGTTGATAGACTATAACTATGTAAACAGTAAACACTATAGTAAGTGTAGTTGCTTATTAGACAATTGTCTAGGCAACCGACGTTTGGTCTTTGAATGAAGAACTGTTTTTAATAAATAACTATGGGATGGTGCACCCTGAAATGAATATAGTGGAGGATTGAATTTGAAGTCAGGTCAGTTAGCCTATTGTGGCGATGGCAATGGGGCCCCTGATAAGCATTTTATACAATCTCCTCTTCCCTTATACTCTTGATAAGTTCCTAGCTTCGTAGTTCATAGGCATTGAATGAATTAAGAAATATTGTAATGGATTTATTAAGTGCAAACTAAATTTGTAATAATAAAGTATAAGTATATATTAATAAATAGTCAATTTATTCATATATTTTGCATAATTGTATTAGGTATTTGCGTGTAGCTGTTGATTATTTCCTTATACGAGAGTAACTACAATCTTAAAATATGGTAAATATGAATGATCTTGTCTCCGTCTTGTTTTGTATTGCGTCATATCAATCAGTAATAACCGAATCATAATTGTGAGATTTAATTGTAACTTTATCGTTTTCTTATCTTTTCATAACAGTTACATATGTATAACAATATTATGTAACGGTACTTTGTATTCATATTGTTTAATAAGACTATAATAATTATAATATCTAACTTACAAAACGTATTCAAATATGATTAGAACTAATTATTGAAACTTAAAAATATTTTAGTAAAATTGTATCAACATCATCTCAATACATATAATATTTTAAGACGCCTTGTGTGTGATGAAGTGGTAAGGAAATTGTTGGAGTACCTACCAACGAATTTTTCATCCAAAAAACTTACGATGATAGAATACTCATAGGATATTATTGTTTATAGAGTTCCAGAGACAACACAACAGGAACTAAATGATGCTCTGGATGCGGCTAAAACGGCATATAAAACATGGAGCCAAAGTACAATCCTCACCCGGCAGCAGCTTATGTTCAAGTTTGTATTTTTTAGATTTATTTTCAAATAGTTGACCTTTCAACTTCATCTACGTCACATTTTCGCCGTTTTTACAACATTTTCAATGCAGCTCCACTCCTATTTGTCGTAGCTTGATTTTATATATCCTATAGTCTTATTAGATAAATAGGCTATCCAACACTAAAAGATTTTTCAAAATCCGATCATAAGTACCGGAGATTTCTACAAATATCTAGACTTACTAACTATACCTCTATATTAGTATAGATAGATGGCTATAAGTTTTCTTTTTTGTTAACTTAATTGACAGATTCATTATTTTCCATTCATGGCATTTTATATTTGTAGTTAGTATTAAATGTTTAGAAGTAAATAATATTTAAAAGATATTTATTAGAAATAATTTTGTTTCACACTTTTGATTGTTGAAAGCGTCGTTTTAATATTACTAACTTTTTTTCAGATACGCGAGATTGCTGCGAGAGAATCAATCCAAACTAGCAGCAAAAATTACAGAGGAGCAAGGCAAGACAATAGCAGATGCAGAAGGCGATGTTTTACGAGGAATTCGTATGTTCAAAATAGTTCATATCTGACTGCATGCCATGTAATTAAGTTCTCTATCTGTTTCCAAATAGAATAGTTGCAACCTAACGTTTTGCAGTATTCATATGTTTATTGCAGAAGTTAATTATAAATTCATAAGGCGGACTAATCTCTTATATGATTTTTTCAAACTCGTAATAGGAGATTGGCTGATCAATATTTAAAGTAGATAAGCGTTATTTGAATATGTTTGACACTTAAGTTGTAATTTGTAAAATAATATTTTTATGCCAGTCTAATTTCTCTGGATTGGCAGTTTCAGTCTTGTTGTGGATGAGTACTTAAACCACATAATTTCGGAGATAATTTTAACAGGTGATATTACTTTGAGTATTTTAATTACAACATCCGGTTTGAAGAAACAAATCTTCTGTATATCACGAGAACACAATTGAAGCTTACATCTGATTGATAGACACTTTAAATAAGGAAATGTTATTGTAATTTAAATCAAAATGAAACCACTTATGAGTTTAAAACCGGAAGTGCATTTTTATTTTGTACAGCATTACAATATCGTCCGAATTTAATATCGAATTTGAATTGAAAATCGCAAAATTGACACGTACATAATTTGCTAAACTCAAATTAAATGTTAAATATAACTGTTTATTTGCAGAGTTAGTTGAGCACTGTTGCAGTATTACTACCCTACAGCTGGGTGACTCCATCCAGAATATTGCCAAAGATATGGATACACACAGCTACAAAGTACCTTTAGGTGTAGTTGGCGGTAAGTGCTATAATATTAATATTTACATCATTAAAAGTCAGTTATTTCGTTCAGATGTTGTGAGATCCCGATCGTCTCTGGCCATATCTATAACTTTTTCATTCGTAGTATGTGTAGTAATTGAATCTATTGGTCTCCTGCCTACGTAAATCATTAACCGCAGAAAGGTGCACCATACCCTTATCACCAATTAAAAAAACACGTTAAGGGCAGTTGATGATTTCTGAATTAACGAATTATATATTTCGGTATTATGTTAATGCCCAATAATTTCAATGCAATATTAATTGGTAGTTATGGTATGTAATATGTAAACAATTCTTCTATTTTAGGTGTTGCAGCATTCAACTTTCCCGTGATGATCCCATTGTGGATGATTCCACCTGCTCTTGTGACTGGCAACACATGTATTATTAAACCCTCGGAACAGGATCCTGGAGCCACTTTGATGCTGATGGAACTATTGCAAGAGGCTGGAGCACCGCGTGGTGTTGTGAACGTTAGTATGGAATACGTTACTTCCTAAAGAGTTCTATTTTGACAGGAAAAAACTACACCAAGGATTGTGGTGGTCATGTTCACAGACCCTAATATTACTTTTCAGAACTTAAAGGTTCTCATTTTAACTGTGTTTTTCTTGGATATATATTACGCGACATATGTGAGAAACATCAATTCTGTGGGTTCTTTTATTGTCGAAGGCAATGGAAGGGATACACCCCTATTCCGGCTGTGTCAGCGTTAGTACTATAATAATATTTTTAAACAATTTCTTTTTCAATAACATTCAAATATACAACACATATATTAGTTTAGCTCAGTCTTTATAGTTATTATTGATTTGGCATCACTACACTTAGGAAGATGCCAACTTATGATCACTAAATTATAAAAATAGATATGGAATTCAAAATTTTTTAATTTGGCATGTTGTCTACGAAACATACTACAAAGTAAGAAATAATGCTATTTTTAATACAATTCGAATTGTGCGGGGATATTATTATTGCTATTTAATGTAGAAAAGTCTTAATTGTATGAGGTTTTCGTTTGTCTGGTTTTTCATAAACACGCTTCACGCTCACGCATGCATCTAAGGCAGGCATTTTGATGACATTGTATTATATTGTGTCACTGCTAAAAGCACGTGCAAAGAGAACGATGGAAAAAACTGCTCTGTAATGTTTTACTTATATTAATTTCCAAATATATGATTCAGAAGTTCCAAGCTTAAATCTAAAATATTTTTTTCTGATATTCTCAGGCAATCCACGGCACTCATGATCCGGTGAACTTCATCTGTGATCAACCGGATATTAAAGCAGTGTCATTTGTAGGCGGCGATGCTGCCGGCAAACATATCTACAAGAGAGCGTCCGCTGCAGGTATCGGCTTCTTTGAGTTTATCAGAATATATTAAATTAACTGTATACTAAGCATTGTACATATGTTCGGATGTACTAAATAAATATAGATATTTTTTCCCCTAATTTTTCAGTTTAGTTATTGTACTGTTTAATTATAAAAATATATTTATTTTTAAATAATTAATAAATAAAATGAAATACAGGCAAGCGCGTCCAAAGTAACATGGGTGCTAAGAACCACGGTGTAATTATGCCGGATGCCAACAAAGAACACACGCTCAATCAGCTGGCTGGAGCTGCTTTCGGAGCCGCCGGACAACGCTGCATGGCTCTCAGCACTGCTGTATTTGTTGGTAAGTAACCTTGTAAATGCTTACTTATTTTTAAACTTTTGCATTTAGTAAACTGATAAAATAACTTCTAAGTTTATAAGAGGATTAAAATATATATAAAATAGTAGCAACCGAGTAGAAGAGTTGAAGTGAAAGAATGTTGTAAGGGGTATGGTGTATATTTATTAATAAATTTATTAACCCCTTGGATCCCGTCGAAGTTACTTCACCAACTAGAAAAGAGTTTCAAATGACTGATTACATTTTAAAGAAAAATAGCCAAGGACAGTCCATCAATCTACCCTTCAAATCAAAAGTCGATTCATCAGATTGCAAGCCATAAATGGATTACACAGACACATAATCTTTGTAAAATTTATACATAATTATCCCTGTTTGCGTCATGACTTAATAGTTATTCATGATGTAGGTGAGGCCAAGCAATGGATCCCAGACTTGGTAGAACGAGCGAAAGGTTTGAAGGTAAACGCTGGCCACGTTCCTGGAACTGATGTCGGTCCTGTCATCTCTATCAGGGCTAAGGAAAGAATTCTCCGCCTCATTGAATCAGGTATAAAAAATATACAGTGTAAATGTTATAGACTATTTTATACTGTTGCCAATATATATTATACAAGAAATGAAATTGTCTGATATTGTTTTGTTGTTATCGATCCAAAACAAGTTATTAGAGTATTTTGTTATTTACTTTCATATTCAGAAAATAGCATGCTACATAGATAACTATTGTAAAAAATGGTTGGGCATTTTTGCAAGATGGTTGTTTTCAAACCCTCGTATTAGATATTCTACGGTTCTTTTTAAACTGTGCAATCCTCCATTTCATTCAATGCAATTCTCCATTCCACTGCTAAGGAGTAGCTTAATAAAATATCTAGGGGATGTAATCATATTGTAATGTGTTATCAGTCTTTTTTCATCATCAGAATATAATAAGCAACTACAGAAATATAAAATATGTTTACTTTAGTAGTGATAGGAAAAACTACTTTTAAAAGGACTAAATCGCAACCAGAAGTGAAAGAATTGTTAAATGCTACGATATTTATGACCTCTACAAATGACTTATGTAAAATATTTATATGTTATTCTTTTATTTCACAGGAATCAAAGAGGGTGCTAAATTACCACTCGACGGCCGAGGCATCAAAGTATCAGGTTTTGAGAAGGGCAACTTTGTTGGACCGACCATACTCACTGAAGTGACACCTAGCATGGAATGTTATAAAGAAGAAATCTTTGGCCCCGTCCTTGTATGCTTGTTTGTAGACACATTAGACAAGGCTATTCAGATGATCAATTCGAATCCATATGGTAACGGAACGGCAGTATTCACTACCAATGGCGCCACAGCAAGGAAATTCGTCTCGGAGATTGATGTAGGTCAAGTTGGTGTCAACGTACCTATTCCGGTTCCATTATCCATGTTCTCTTTCTCCGGAACCAGGGGAAGCTTCCTCGGTACTAACCACTTCTGTGGGAAACAGGGTATTGACTTCTTCACAGAACTGAAGACTGTAGTTTCTCTCTGGAGACAAAGCGATGTATCTCATACTAGAGCTGCCGTATCTATGCCCACACAACAGTAAAATATACCTTATATATTTTTAAGATTTATTTAACGAAACTCAATATAGGTATTTTTTTTATTAATAGACGCAAATATAAGCATATACTGTTTTAGTATTTAAATTAGTGACATTCAATATTGTGTTTTAAATTTTAAAATGCCATGTCTTCCAAAAGTACCTGTAAATATATTTTTGATACATAATTCTAATAATTTATAAATATTTTTCACATTAATTACATATATTAATTTTAGTGTTTTTGTTACATTTGTAATGTTTCTCAGTAAGATCTGTTGTTGAGTAATAAATATATTTTTTGAAAATTTGTTTTGTCAATTCATTCTTTTTCAACTCATTCATTTTTTCATCGACGCTTTTTTTTATCTGCAAGTAGAATTCATATTTGTTAATTGTTTTGCAGAACATGTATTGTTTTTAATAAAATTAACTCAGTAAAGATAGTTACAAATAAATATTATGTATTCATATTTACTTTATTATATAATAATAATATATATACTATAGGTCTGTACTTTACGGTACCAGACAACTGATAGAAATAAACTTCTTTTTTTTTAATACGTAAGATAGATAGGTTTCTTTTATGGATGCCTGCGCTAACGGTTTGCGCTTGCGGGGCACCAGTGGAAGATGATAAGATGAGCATAACTAATGACAAATTCACCAAGAATTTATCACGATGGTTTCTAGGGGTTCCTCGTGGCGCGCGTCTCCGCGGGACCCGCGTGGACCTGACATGGTACAGTGCTAGCAATGAGATCGTCAGTCCACATTATTAACAATCCCTTTTCCCCCCAATATACATAGGTAGTAGGTATAAACCTAGAACGATACAAATAATCGTGCTCATGTTTGTACCGTGCATGGAATCGAATCCGCGACCATCGGACGTAATGCACTGTACTATGTATTATGTTATCTGTGGCTGTACTAAACCGCTAGACCACCGAGGCCTTCGTATAATTTTCAATCTCACTATCAGACAAACAGTCGAACTACTGCCGACCTTAATAGTCAATATATCCATCCATCTGTCCACAAAACTGCACCAGCGCCTGCGCATATTAGTAATTTCTAAACGTAACGTAACGCTGTCATTCAAGTTTGTAACTGTCAATTAAGCTCTTGAGTAGTATATTCTTTGCAATTAAGTAAGAAAGTATGAAATATTGATAACAGTCAAATTGTTCATGTATTTCGGCATGTAAATCGCATCGAATTATCTATCTTATTACAAGGGAAACAATAATGCTAGTGTTTTGTAAATAAAATTGATTGTTTGATACTTCGTGACTACACTATGATCAAATTGCATGACATCATAATCAACTTGCAGTGAGAACTTCAGGTTTACTCTTTTATTTCGCCCGCTGTTTTTGTCAAATAAACACGCATCATGATGTTTCTTTATATAAAATTGTTTGTGTTATTATTACTTCTAGTTGACTGTCGTAGTTTAACACCACAATGTAGAAATGAAAAGGGAGAACCCGTTGATTGGTATGTATTTATTTTCTTTATTCCTTTGTTATTATTTTTATAAAGCGTAATAATTCTGTGTTTGAAATTTTTTCTAATAATTAATATACATTTGTTTATAAGTACTATTTATGTGCTACATTTGTCTTTAATTCTCTTTAATGGATCAAGTATAAAGTAGGTAGATACCTACCTAACAAAATAATATTATTGTGAGTAATAAATATTATATTTTATTTGCTCTAATGGCACCATTCCCTATCGACTAACAATATCATAACATGTTAAACTATTAACATAACATATTTAGCAATTTATTTATATATTTACCAGGTGTCTTGTAGGTAAAAAAGAGCAACGAAAGAGAACAAAGAGTCAACAGATAAATCTTTTAGTTCCTCTCCTATATTTTGGAGATTGCAGATCTTTTTTCAATCTAAAGGATCTAAAATTGAAGCGATATACATAAATAATATCATCATCAGCATCATCATCATATATGTAATAATAAATAATATTAATATAAATGATCAAAATGTAATTTTAATATTTTAGGTTTTATGTTTACAAGTTACCAAGGGAAAAAAATCACATCAATCCACTAATACGAAAAGGAGTTGCTTATATGCATTTAACTCCATCTAAATTAAGAGGTGGATGGATAATGTCAGATCTGGCTATAAGTGACCCCCGTTCCATGCTTGGAAAAACCTTAGCTCCATTATATCAGGTATTTTATTATAGTTATTTTTACTATTTATTACATAATACTAATAATATAAATATTCCTGGGCAATTCAGACAGTGCCATCTAGACCAGACTAAGCAGAGCTTGTGTTATCGGTACTAGACAACTATAGATAGATATACTTACATATATATTCTTTGTGAAAGCTCACAGACTAATATAAACAATCAAACTTCTGAATTAAATAAAATGTTTGTATAGTGCAAGGAATTGAACCCCTGGTCAATAAAAGTGGTGAGGCTAAACTACTAGAAGCCATAGAACAAAGAAACAAAGAAATTTATGTCTATTTCTACAGATTTCTCTCTCAAAGCTTTCTTTCTAATTATATCAAACAAGATATCTATCTCGCTAGATATTTAATGTATATTAATGAATAGGTTTTGCTATCACTGAGCCTTTTTGAGCCTTAAGCTACTTTACTAAAACTACCCTCGGCCTGGAAACTACTTCACATCTGAGTCATCTTACAGTAATTGTGGTAATTTAATTTCATCTTATTTTATTTTTTATTTAAGTATGTTGGTTTTAATTTGTTATAATTTCATAAATAATAATAAATATGTAATAATGTAGTAGTAATAATGCTATGTTACATTATATCATACTAAGCAATAAAATCTGATAAATTTTATTTATTTATTTTGATTCAGGCAATTGATTATTATTTATAATGATGACCCATATTATATATTATATAATATGTGTCTTACACTAACTAAAGAATAGATATAAAATATGTAATTGTTTTGTTATACATACCTAGGGGCTAATATGTATGGAATATGTATGAAACAATAATATTGTCTTTGTGGTCACCATATTCACTGCAGCAATCTACCAGGGTAGCCCTGGTATACCATTCCCTTTAGTCAGTGTTCTTCTTTCAGGAAGGAATAAAAGCTAATAATTTTGTGTTTCAGGACAAAAATATAATTTCTCTTATTTACAATGATCAACCACCAGCAAATGAAAATCAACCAGATATTTTACAATCTGTTGCACAATTTTATTCCAAAAGCAAAAGAGGTATGTATGCTTAAGAACATATAATTTTGAAAGTTATAAATATTTATTTATTACTTGTAAAAGTTTATAAAAAGAATTTAAAGAGTAATTTGTTATTATATAACTAGAAACACTTTCAATTATATATATTTACACAATTAGTAACATTATTATTAAATAATATTAAAGATTTTACTATTTTTGTATTTATACAGTAACTTCTTTTTGCAGTTTACTTTGTTACTTACATGTAATTTGATTCCAGGTCAAATAAAACAAGCAGGTTTTAAGAAATATAAAAAGTTTAAACTAGGTGATAAGTACTATGATGATTATGATTTGGCAGAAATGTGTAAAATGCACTCCAAGTTTATGAAGACAAGAGTAGAAAGTGGTCACACAAAGGGTGTTATACTGGGAGATAAATTTACTTCTCTATGGTTAGTACATTCTGTACCAAGGTTCCCTCAAGTGCCTGATAGTAAGTATTTGTTAAAAATGTTTAACCAACAACACAAAATAATATACATATTTAGAAGTTTCCATCCATTATTATCTAATACCAATTGTACAATTTGGGTTATATCTAGATAATGCTGTTTTGGTATTTACATTGTAATTCTATGCCTGCTGTATTCTGTGAACAACTGTGTGTGAGGACCTACCCTACTGTACAGCCTATGTTGTATATAGTGATAAAGTAACTTTCTATAAGAGAAAGATTTTTTAGAATCAGTAATATTTTTTGAGACAGTACAATATAAAATCTCTCCTATTTTATTTTTATAATTAGCATAGCAAACAAAATGCCGGCCATCTTGCTGGTAAGTGTTAACCGTCGCCTATATACACAAACAGTACTACGATATCACATTATCATGTGACGCCCGTGATACCACTTATGCGTTGTCGTAGCACGATATGATGCTCTTACCCCATAATTTTACTAACTTACCAAAATAGCTTATAAAGAAAACTACTTTGTGCCTTAAAGTGTAAGCCATTGGTACCCACGCAGACTACATTTTACAAAGTCCTCGTCAGTGATATAGTAAGTAAAGAAGTAACTGATGATGACTTATTTTCCAGCGAATGGTTTGAATGTAAGTTCATACGACTACCCCACGACTGGTATGAAGTATGGCCAGTCTATGCTTTGTATGTCGGTACAAACATCTACCCTTAATCAGATTGCTACTCAACTAAAATACAATGAACCCTTAATTGCATACCATCATATACCTCAAGAGTTTGAAAATGAGCTTCCTAATTTGGTGGACGTGATACATAATAAGACAATTGATGCATCACCATGGTAAGCTTTAATTTTATACTTTTTTACGGATGTTTACAATTACTATCGAGAGTTCGTTAAAATATTATTAATATAAATACGTATACATTATATAAACGGGATATTTATTGACGGTATACAGTTAACTTCCTGTGTATACTAAGTACTAATTATAATAGTAGTTAATTAATTAAAATAGGGCCACGACAATGACTAACGAATATGACTAATATTTTGTTCCATAACAAAGCCATATAGCACATTTAGATCTAACTCCACGACATGCCTTTAAGCTATTAGACACAAACTACATAATTTTTTTATTGTCGAAGGCGATTTTTTTGAGAATTAAAATCTTAACTCACATAAAAAATAAACGTACGTAAAGTCGTCATTTTTCCCTTTTTTTACTCCTATATAATTCACGTTATTTAAACGTATCATCAATATCAACGCAAAATTTATGCTAATGTATAAAGAAAGTTCTATGATTTATATAAAATATTGTAGTTTAAAACCACATTTATAAATTATGTAAGTAATTGGTAAATGGGAAATCTTAGAATTAGCTTCAAACGACCACATTACAGGGAAAATGTTCGTAATTATTTTATAAGGTAAAACAGTTTTAATGTACCTATCAGGGTATAAATATTTTTTTAAACAACCCTATTCCAATTTCAAAAATATTTGCAACATATTGTTATGCTTTTAAATTTATACAAATGAATCCTTACTTTGTATATGGTCTCCTATGATTAATTTGATGTTTACAGTAATTTGATAACTTTAAATACTAACATGTAAAACGTAACTGCCTTGTACATTGTAGGTCACTTAGTCACTGAAGATATTTAATTACTGTACTATCATGTATGCAATATAATATTCTAAGAAAACATTTATATATTAATAGGTATGTAAATGCTTTGTTAGCATATTATATTACAATTTATTAGTGATCTTAATTATTTAAGTTACTCATCGTCTAGGAAATTGAAGTATCTAAATGCTGGAGCGTTAATTTCTTTTATAGAGATACTAGCTGTACCCGCGACTTCGTCCGCGTAAATAATGAAAAAATATTTAACTCGATTAACACAATATAAGTCAAATAACCGACCGACGATCTGGTCAAGATCGCTGGAAGGCATTGGATGCGAGCAGCGCAGGACCGATCGTCGTGGTGATCTTTGGGGGAGGCCTATGTCCAGCAGTGGACGTCTTCCGGGCTGCGATGACGATGATGATGATGAAGTCAAATAAATAAGTTTCATCATTTTAGCTTCAAAAATGATAAAAAGTAAAAATAAATCTTTAATCAATAGGCTAAAAAATAAATTTCAAGCTTCTAGCTTTAAACATGACGATACATCTATATAACCTTGGATCTAACCTTTCAATCCTCTTGCAACCCTTTTTCACATTAAAAAGTAACCTATGTCCTTTCTCAGGATCTAGTCTATGTATGTCTGTTTCAAATTTCAATTTAAATCGGTTCAGTTTTTTTGGCGTGTAAGCGAGACAAACAGACAAAGTTACTTTCACATTTATAATATCAGTAAGGTATTTAATAAACTAACTAAAAAGACAAAGAAAAAAGTTTAATCGTTCTAGCTTCCACAACCACACAAACAGCAAATTTCCACAATAACTTTCATTCCCTATTTTATTTTACTACCCCCCCCTCCCCCTAAGAGTAAAAATTTTACAAACATTGAATGTCATATTTATTGATATTTAAACAACAGCCTAAAAATGAGACTCAAACTTCTAGTTTTAAAAAATGACGATTCTTCCATACAGCGTACCATTGCAACCCCCTTACAATCCTTTTTTCACATTCAAAAGTACCCTATATTCTTTGTCCGGGTGTAAACTAACTGTGTACCAAATTTCATTTAAATTTTTATTTTGTTTTGGAGCGTAAGACTGACAGAAAGACAAACAGAGTTAGTTTCACAGTTATAACATTAGTGGGGTATTTAAAAATCTACCCCAAAAGAACCAATGAAAATAGTTTCATCGTTCTAGTTTCAAAAATTACGAATTTACATAATAACTATCATCCCCTATTTTATTTTACCCCCTTAAGGGTATTTTTTTACAAACAATGAATGTCATATTTATTTATATTTAATCAACAGCCTCAAAAATAAGTTTCAAGCTTCTAGCTTCAAAAATGACGATTTTACATAAAAACTTGCATCCCCTATTTTATTTTACCCCCTTAAGGGTAATTTTATTAAAAACAATGAATGTCATATGTATTTATATTTAATCAACAGTCTCAACAATAAGATTCAAACTTCTAGCTTCAAAAATGACGTGTTTACATAAAAACTTGTATCCACTATTTTATTTTACCCCCTTAAGGGTAATTTTTTTACAAACAATGAATGTCATATGTATTTATATTTAATCAACAGTCTCAACAATAAGATTCAAGCTTCTAGCTTCAAAAATGACGTGTTTACAATAAAACTTGCATCCCCTATTTTATTTTACCCCCTTAAGGGTAATTTTTTACAAACATTGAATGTCATTTTTATTTATATTTAATCAACAGTCTCAAAAATAAGTTTCAAGCTTCTAGCTTCAAAAATGACGATTCTTCCATACAATCTTTCATCCCCCTTTTAACCCCTTACAACCCTTTTTTCGCATTAAAAAGTAGCCTATGTCCGTTCTCAGGGTCTAGACTATCTGTATACCAAATTTCATTCAAATCGATTCAGTAGTTTTGGCGTGAAAGCGAGACAGACAGACAGAGTTACTTTCACATTTATAATATTATAGTTTTTGTCGCAGCACAAAAATATATTTTTATCGTTTCCGTACAAATAATAATTTTACAGTATTAATCTACTATTATTTAATCTACAAACCAACATTTTGTTTCTTACAATCAGCTAAATAATTTAAATAGTTCCATAATATATGGCACAATGAAAAGGTCATTTATTTTATAAAAAAGACAGTTAGTTTTTATTTTAGTGAAAAATAAGAAAATTCTATTTTGATACACCATATATTTATTAATACCTATATTTTATTCATTTTGTGTTAATGCTTTTTAAATAAACACCCACACATTATTTCTGTATAACCTACAAAAATGGGTAAATAATTTAATTTCGGATAGTGCCACACCACAACAATTTTTTTTTTAAGTTTGTCAGAACTGGGAAACAACATTTGACATTTATTATTATTTAACATTGGACATTGACTTTAATTTTTGTAATTTATATTGTAAAACTTTAAGTTGGGCTAAACTGGGCTTGTATCCAGAGCCGTAAAACAAATTAATAAAAAAAATCGCCAAATTTGTCTCGCAATCGGCCAATTTCAGGTTTAAAGAAAAAACACGTACACACGATATACGATTTTATCATAAAAAGGTGTCAAAAAACAATATTTTCACTAAACGTCAACGTCATGTTTCCGGCAAGATCTTTCGTTTTACATTATGTTATCTGTGGTTTTGTTCTCTGTGATGGATACCTTATTGGCGCAAACGCACGCGATGTGTTGATTGGTTGTTAGCTAGTGAAATGAAAAGATGGCGAATGGCGCAAACGCACGCGATGTGTTGATTGGTTGTTAGCTAGTGAAATGAAAAGATGACGAATAAGGATTCAACCGCATAAAGATAACCTTGTATTTCCATTTTGAACCCCTTACAACCCTTTTTACGAATTAAAATGTAGCCTATGTCCTTCCTCTGCGTCTAGACTATCTGCCTACTAAATTTCATTTAAATCGGTTCAGTAGTTTTGGCGTGAAAGCGAGACAGACAGACAGACAGACAGAGTTACTTTCGCATTTATAATATTATAATATAATAATATATAATATATAATATTATATATAAATATATATATATATATTATTATATATAAATATATATATATATATATATTATATATAATATATATAAATATATAGTAAGGAGTAAGGATTATACACTCATCTGTATCTGTATGTGTACTACATACGTCGTATGTACGTACGATGTACGTATACGTCCTTTATGATTATATTGTTCTTATGTAAATAGCCCAAGTTCTATGGATCAATTCTTGAAATAATATAATGCGTTCAATATGACTTTTAGGTACCACATAGAGAGCTTCGAGACGCTAGTAGGTCGTAAATTCCTCTCGTTTGCAAAGAGCGCCATGTTCAATGATGACTTGTACAGCGGATTAGTGGCTGAAGTGTTGCAATCGGATCTTTTGGTAGAATCATGGACTAATGGTCCAGGGACGTTGGACTCTGAATGCACAAGAAACTTTCAGTGAGTTTAGCTTTATTTGTTTGTTCTACAAAAATAAAATCGTCGAAATTAAAATCTAATATAAAAAAGACCATTCCTTGCAAAATATCACTTTAATTATATCTATGGTTTAACTTCATGAAACTATACGATATAACTAATATATGATTAATTTGAATATCAAGTATATTTGTTATTGACAATTCGTTAATTTTATTAGAAACCACATATTTTATTATCTATCTATATATTTCTGTTTTGAATTGTAGTATTCACAAAGTTAATATCAAAACTGTAACAATTTATGAATTATATTTACGAAAACAGTAGTCCATCTGTTTTAATGTTTCAATTCTAACAATTCTGGTTGAATTGTAAGGGGTACGTAATTTGGTTGTAATATATTCTATATTTAACATCTCTTCTAACGCTCTAATTATTTTTATAATAATAGTGTATACATTAAAAGTATCTGACTATACTTGTTGTTAATTTATAAGTATTTCTTTATTACTTAGAATGTAAGCATATTCTCTGAGGAAAATGTTTCATTATGACTATTTTCATATTCATATAGGTGATCATTGAATTATGTGTCGCTAAAGTTAATACTTTTTATTTAGTTTATCTAATTTAATCCAAATTTTGGTCTTTTCCAGAGTACGAAATATAGAACGTCTCAAGTTTCCCATAGCAAAAATGTCATTCACATCGACGGATGACCACTCGAAATGGGCGGTCGCTGTTGCACATAAAATGCACAATAGCCAGGACACTAAAGTGGCAGACTACTGGGTCTGTGTGGGAGATATCAATAGAGCGGTATGTATCGTAAAAAATTGTGTCATTTTTTAGTAATAATAATTTATACAAACCAGAATGGTTGGTATAAAAAACAAGAGTAGGTTTGCCTCACCTAGAATGTCTATGGTACTGTTCTTATTTTTAGGCCACGAGGCCACTTTCCATCATGTGAGGGCAGTTTCATAGCCATAGTAAGTCGTTTAAGATAAATACATAAATAATTATATATTACTCTGACTAACTTTAAATAGTCCAGTTTTTGCAAATTCTTGTATGAAACTGCGTTTTAGACTGAGTGTAGGGAACAAAAAAAATACATTTAATCCCATGTATAACATACACACGTCGTAAGTAGTCAAGTCGGCAAAGTCGTAAGTAGAAATTATGTTTTTAATTCATTATAATGAAATGGTGCACCCGCTTGCACTAACGGTTTACGCTGGTGGAGGATGATGTACTGACCACGAGATCAGGTCAGTTAATCCATCGTGGCAAATTCATCTGGAATTTATCGCAATGGTTACCAGGGAAACCGCGTAGAGATCATTCTAACATGAGCACATTGCAGCAATGGGTTCATTAGTCCACATTACTATCAGTCCCATTCCCCCCATGTGCAGGAAATTAATTCAAACATCTTTTAAAATACGTGGTAGCTATCCTGACTAACTTTTTTTTTGCAGTTACCACAAGAATCGCGCGGCGGAGGTACAGTATGTACTTCTGGCCCCATATTGTGGGGTAATTTCGCTCACCTCATCGAATCCGTTCAGACATGTAACTAAAGACTGTATTAGAATTAATGATTTCATTGTGTGATGAGATACCAAAGCGTTTCAGCGATGCTGCTGTAGCTCAAAAAGTAGATTTAAGACTATTACAAAGCACAGAACAATAGATAAAATTAAGGAGATTTTAAAAATGATGTACTTAAGTAAATAGGAAGGCTTTTATGTCATTACTTACCTGTTTATGCCATTCAAAAATTGACTGATTTTTGTAGAACATTGTTTAAATTTGAATAAAATTGAAAGGGGGTCTTACATACTCCACATTAATTCTGAAACGAATGTCATTGTAATTTATTGTCTGTTATAAGTAAAGTGGTGACTTGTAATATTCTTTTTTATTATATAATATACCAAGTGCATAGTAATTTATACTGTAATTACATTTTATTTTCTTTTGATCAAATATGAAGTAGTATATCTAGTCTTATTGGTGTTGTCATCAAAACTATAAACACAATTATAAATTACTTTATTTAAAATTGTGCACAAAATTTTCCAAAGTTTTAATTGAGCATTTATTTACGTACTAAAATAATTTCTTGTTTCTGAATCTCTTTGATTGATCTGATTGTACGCTGAATGTCTTTACAGCCCAAAAAGTATTGTTTGTGATTTTTAAATGTAGGATGTAACTATAATAGATTTTTTATAGATACTTCGTTACCATACTAAGATAAGTTAGGATATCAATAATAAATAGACGAAGTATAATTTCTTGATAAGTTTGCCCGTAATAAGTGTCACAAAGTATTGTTTTAGTTATAGTACAAAGTCAGTATAATTACAATGGTCATATATAGTGATCTGTGGGCTAATTATGTAACACGATATGAAATTGTTTCTGTTGAAGTTGTGATGCAATATGAAATCATTTCAATTTAAAAAATGCGATCAAGTAAGGTCGAATGACCGCAACATAAATCATTTCTATCGATAAAACACTACTATGTTGCAGCGGAATTTTGTTAATCCGACCAATTTAAAAAGTCAGTACATTAGATAGCTTATACCTTTAGAGGGATACATTTTAATTTATTGGGTTGTTACACTAGTTGGTTGATTTGAAACAATTTTTATTGCGTTCAAAAATTACAAAATATACTGCAGCGTTCACTTGTTCTTTTATTTTAATTTTATTAATAGACATTTAATAAAATAAAATAAAGAAAGTCTATTCTATTCTAATGAAAAAATAAGGTTAATAATTTTGAATATAAAAGCATATTTTATACAAACTATTTATAATCATTAATAATATTAATCTAACCTACAAATTAAATTTTCTTTTCTGCTATAGATACCTAGGTAAGTACGTAGGTATCCATATAAATTTAGAATTATATTTTTAAATTTGTACATAATTGTAAAAACTTTAAACAAATAAATTTATTTACTTTAAACAAATCACAGAGCATCATAAACGTTGTATTCCGTTCACAAATCGTATTCATTGAAATAGTTTTTTAATTATATTAATATCATAATCAACCCTAATTTTATATTAAACATTTACTTAGTTAATACAACATTCTATGTGATTTGGGACGAAAATAAAATATCGAATTGGCAACACTGATGTCGTGTTGTGAGTCGTGACAATTTTCCCATTTTAATAAATTTAAAACCTTTTCACGACTTTCTACGTAATATTTAATATAATAAAAATATATGTAATACTGAAAATTACCAAAACAAGATAAATAATGCTGCTAATGCTGATATTTTAAAGATTGTAACCAAAAGAAACACCTTCTAAATTGTTTCTCATATAAAAACCGTTTCAATTCCACGCTGTCATTTCGGCAAAATAGCGATTACGTGACGTTGTTACTAAATCGACATTCGATAGAAATAATTTTTATCGATATACGTTAATGCTAGTTGACAGCGTCAAATGGCGTCTATATGATCGCATTATTGACAGATGACGTCATTTTCACTACGTTACATACGAAAATCGTTGCGAACCAAGTTACATAATTAGCCCACTGTTATTATAGATAAATGTAAATAAACTGTATTGCCCGTTGCTATTTGGACTTCGTGTTGATGAATGTTGCAAATTAATTAAACAATGTCGAAAATGTTGTTTGTTTATTGACTCGAATGTTATAAAATACTGTATGGTTGTATGTTCATAATGAAATGTTTTGCTCATTTGTATATTGACTTTTGCTTTAAATGTAGTTTATATAATAAATAATATCGGAGTCTGAGTTGTATGTTATACCTATTTATTAAACCATTCGAAGCTATGGTTTATCTTACTGAAAAGTAAAATCAGGTGTATATTCTTTTTTTTGTAAATGAATTTGATGTTCATATTTTATTGATAACTAAAGTAGAGCCTATATGTATGTATATAATGTAAGTTAAAATAAATTAGTATATTAAATTATTAACTTTTTGTTTTTGTTGATATTAAATCATTTTATTTGTAATCTCATTGAGTCTGAATATCCATTGGTTTAGATATTTGGATCATGTTATTTGAGTGTATAATAAAACACGGACACATGTTAAATATAAAAATGTATACAATTTAGGTGTAACAGCATGTTTTAAGTATACTAGTTATAGATCCGTCGCGCACGGAATACATTTGTAGTTGTTGATCTCTGCAAAGAGATCATCTGAACTGTTAATAAATTGGACAAGTGCCCTCAATTTTATGAAAGTAAAGTAAGTCTGGTCGACCTCCAGATGTAAACCTTCGTGGCTAATTCCTGGTCATTTTGCCACAATGGGCATGATAGCCCATCGTACATATAGGTCAGATTATGTAACTTTATGTTCTACTGTTGCCCCGCAGTGCAATGCGTATTGTTAGCACTGACGTGTGCACTATTCCTTTATCATCCAATAAAAGAAACGTATGGTATAATGTAGTATGGTATAACAATATGTAAATACAGAAAGAAAACACATTTCATTTAAAGGGATTTAATAATCAACATAAAAATTATTTACATAGTATAAGTTCAAACCGTATTTCATTTTGAAATGAATCTATACAGAGACTTATATGAAACAGTTATAAGTTATTTTATTATATTGGCGTCACTGGATATAAAGCTTACGTACCAAAAAAAACAAGACAATGATTATTACCATTGGCACTAAATATAGGTAGAATATGTTTAGATTTACGTAATAATAAAAAGTGACAATAGAATAAAATTTGAATATATTCATGGTACTTAATATATTTTAAAATATGTAGAAAATAACCCATCACCTTCCTAAAAGTTGAAAGGTATGTTAGGTACAATAGACAAACTTATAAAACTATATGGATTAGTTATTCTTTATCGGATACCGTACATATAAAGATTTGGCACAATCACAATGCATCCGCCGTCCCGTGCCTGGATGAAGGGATGAGCAGGTCGATATTATTGCCCATACAAACCATGAAAAGACAAAACGACAACTTAAGCTATTTATGTATGAGTATGTTTTTCATTACGTTGTCACAAACCTTAATAATTAAAAAATCTAAAACACAAAAGGATAAATACGTATGTACACATTGTTTCTTCTTATGACCAGATTATACGTTCTTTAATAAGTATTATTATTATATTTTATTAAGTAATGCAAAAAAAAATACAAAAATAGCTAAATTACATGCACATAATTACATAAGTACCATTATATTTAGCCACCACCGTGGTCTCCTACTTTTTAGGATTAAAAAAATTGCTCCTCTAAGCGTAGGAAGCCTACATCATAATAAAGCATACATATATCAATAAAAAACAGTATATGTATACGTACATAATATACAGAATTATATTTCGTCTTGTAGTAGTTGATCGATAAAAAGGTTAGAAGGTTGGAAAACTTATCTATATACGTAATTAGACAAATTGTATCATGACCAAAGCTAATAGAAATATGTATTTAAAAAAAGCAACTGAAAGATTAATATAAACAAGCCTGATTATACACTTCCGCACCCATTTTCTTTATCCAGTGATTTTACGCTATAATACAAGGCGGCGATTTAGTAGGGAGACGTGGATCCTTCACGCAACCCTTAATGAGGGTAATCTTGTGAACCAAGAGTCGTGTTTCATCTTCAGATAGTAGGAGTCTCTAGGGGCGGGCGTTGTCAACGCATCCTCAAGAATTTTAAGCGCACTGGTTGGTAAGACCTTTGCGCTGTATTCAGCAGCTTCACCGGGCATGGTGACGGCGCAGGTGGCAGTGCTGCCACTCACTTCGGAACTAGGAGTCTCTGGTCGACTGGAATATAAAACGTTAATATTTTTATCCTTTTCTTAGATAATAATTTACTACAGTTTTGAAAGTAGATGTGGCTACACCTGGGATAATTAACAGCGCTATCCAATCCCAAGCTAATCAGAGCTTCTGTTATGGGAATCAAACAACTGATATGAATACATATACATAGATTTTTTCTTATAAATACATCTTACTAATAAACGCGATAGTTTGTGAGTATGGATGGATGGATATTTGTTACTCTTTCACATAAAAACCACTGAACGGATTTTGATGAAACTACAGAAATATAGCTTAAACATCAGAATAACATAACATAAATAACATACTCGACATTACTGTTTTAGTATTTGGCGTAGATACCTGGAAGGTAAGCTCGGTGGCACAAGCTGCACAGGCGGTGCGTATATCTCGGCAGCAGAGAGATCGGGCGCGTGCAGTAGCACGACGTGCAGGCGGCGCGCCCGGAGTCCGGCTCGGAGCGCGCGCGCAGCACCCCACGTGCCCCACCGCGCCGCAGCAGCGCCTGCGCTCAGCTCGCTCGTATCGCACGACTCTAAGCGCGAAAGGCTTTCGCAAGCTGTGTCTGATGTCAGTCCTATATAAATGTGAAATTTTTTAGTAATGTCAAGTATAAATAAGAAATTACCCAAAAAATAATCGTTCACAAGGAAGGCTTTAGCGTTTACGTAGCTAATTTATATTTCGTAGTTTGTTTTTTTATGTCATTCAAATATTCCACTTACATAAATCCTTACATTACATTGCCCCCTCCCCCCACATAGCACCCCCGCGTATTTACAGGGGCTTAACCCCAAAATAAGGGGGGAAGGGAATTGTTAGTAGTGGATTATAAACCCTAATGTTTGCAATGTAACATATTAGGATAACCTCCACACGGTGCCCCCTGGAAACCTTCCTGGTGAATTTGTCACGATGGGCTAACTGATCTGACCTCTTGTTCACCTTATCATCCTCCATTGGTGCCCCACCAGGATAAACAGTTAACGCAGACGGCTGCACTAATCCATTATCATTAATTAAAAGAATAAATACAAAAAAATAATGATATAAACAGATTTTTTTATGTTAATTATCTATAAACCCATGTTTTGAGATAATAAACGCCGCATTGAATACCTACTTCTTTAACCTCTACCTTAAAACCGGTTGAAATCGGGAGTTGGAATTAATCATATTATAGTCTACCTCTTGATACACAATATGTGGGCGTGAACGCTTGTAAATGGCAAATTTACCTATGTAGAAAAGTCGTCCAGCGTGAGGATGATCAGCAGCGGCGGCAGCTAGAAGTGGGGAAAAAGTGCGCGCCACCCGCAGAGCACCGAGCACGTTACCGCGCAATGCGCTTTCCCAACAGGCAGCACCTCCGCGACCGCTGCTTCCTGCGGTATTAATTACCGCCCATATACCTAAAATAAAAAAAATCAGTAGGTGATTCATAATATTTTTTTTTATATTTAGTTAACAAATAAATATAAATTCATTACCAAATTATATAACTACATGCACAAATATTATTTTCACGTCGCATTCTTTTCAGGGTAGGCAAAGATTTATACTAGGCATAAACGGTTAAAATCATTACTATAATAAGTCTTTATCTACTCGTGACGTGATGTAATGATATGTCAAAAATTAATGTCTCACTTTTAAACATTTTAAACATTCACTTGTTACATTCAATTACAGATTTCGACACAAGATTCGATGTTTGTTAAACAGTTTTAGCGCCCCCTAGCTAATCAGTGAGTTGGTTGATTGATGCTAGCATTTCAAAATGGCGCCGTTGTGCTAACACAGACAGAGGTAAGCTCTCGGTAGATGGCGTTTGACTAAGGTCTAATGAGAGGCTGAATGAAACGGATTTATTTTATGACTCAGCTTATAATTTTCATTCATTTCCTATTTAATTTATAGTGTTTATAACATCAAAAGTTTAAGTTAGTTAAAATAATAATATGAAAAGGACGATATAAGTCATAATTTTAGAATATCCTTCCCGAGCACTGCTGGTGTAGTGGTATCATGCAAGATTCCCATTCTTGCGACCCGGGTTCGATTCCCGGGCAGTGCACACTTTTTAGTTTTTGTTGCTAACTTTTTATTGATGAAATCAATATTTTGTTTTGAAAATTAAACTATAAATAGTATTAATGGGCAACAGGGTTTATTTCTTAAAAAATAGCTGTATGTGTGGTAACCACCACGTAAGTTTTTAGACAAAAAAATATTTTATAAGCATATACATAGATAGAATTCCTACCCATTTTCCGGCGGGAGGTGATTGTTAGTAATGTAATCGACATAAGTCAGTAGCTCCATTGCTAGTAATCAGGTTCCCCTTATCGTAGATCCATTGAAAACTATCATGGTGACTTTGTCACGACAGCGTAGCTTTTCCTTACAGAATTCCCCAATAGTGCTCCATCAGCGTACACAATTCTTTGTTAACCCATTAAAAAAACTTACCATGTTCGCCAGCAGGCAAATGTTGAGCTGTAGCCCTCGCGGCTTCCTCTAACAAGTCTTCACGGGCCACGTCCAGTTCGAGCGTGGCCAACCTCGGCGGGGGCTGGTCTTCAGGAGTGGCTGCCGCGTGTGCCTGCAGCCAAGATTCAGCAAGTCGAGCTCCAAGCCCACCTTGCCGGCATCCAGCGATCACTCGCCACCCGCGGTCGCTCAAATATGTTGCTATCTGTTGAATAAAAAATATAAACGGAACCTCTAATTTATTATAACGACTTTAAAAAGAAGAAAGAGGACGCTAAATGGGGTTTATTAATTCTATTTTTCTTACTTTTTAACGTGTATAGAAACTGAATCATTTTAATTTTTTTTATTTAAAAGGATTCAGATTCTCTATTCTATATTGATAAACTTACATTCTCTTATCTGTATTTTACACAAGCTTGATCTTGGTGAAATTTACAAAGTTTTATGAATACTATCACTAGCCATAGTGCAATATCTTTTATGATTATTTAGCAATTTATGAAAATATCTATAAATAGGCCATAAACAAACCTGTAAACCAAGCGCGGTGTCCACAGAAGTGACCAATACTGTTTTGGCGCTATCTACTGGGAGTACTTCAGCCACTCGCACCTTCCTAAGTAGATACAACAGCAGGGCCCCAACGATGGAGCACAACGCTGCCAGTTGCAGACCGAGTGACAACCACGTAAGCGGATCCATATCGTTACTGAGAGAACATTTTACTTGAGGTCATCTGAAACAAAACAGGAATATTTTTAGCGATCGCAGAATGCACATAATAGATAGATCGCAGAAAATATTTCTAAATTCTTTTAAAGTAATTTTTAGTTAGCATCTTCAACGTATTCGTACGAGGGTGTAAAAAAGTAAAACACTGCCATAATTTAATGCCCTGCCAGCTATAAATGAAGGTAGGTAGGTATATACATAAAAGAAATTTTGAAAGAGATATTTTTTTAAAAACAAAATAAATTCTTTTTTTTTTATATTTATTTAGATAATTGCGATTGTCTCTAGTTTCGATATCGACTTAATACTTGAACAATTGCATGACAGTAAGAGTAACGAGCACGGATGTGATTTAGTAAACAGAGATTACAATGGCGATCACCTCCGCTGTTATTGTTTACTGTTTGTCCCCGACAATGTCTTTCCCACAGTTTAGTCGTGTAAGGAATTGCAGTGCCGCCATCGTACAGCTGTTAATCGCTTGACTGTTGTAAATAATCATAAGATTGTTATTACTTTATTAATAAATGTTTATGTTTGTATTTCTTACATATTGACTAATTTTAGTTAGTTAATGGCTTTAGCTAACGGTTAACTAGGTACTACCATAAAATGAATCATTAATGTAATGATATTTAGTTTATAGTAACTGATACATAGGTTATTACATAATATGATGTTTAAATAACCTAATAATTTGAAGACCCTTTACATTGAGCGAAGAGTAATGACTTATGGCTAATTAGAAATAAGTATTTTTTTAATCCGTTTTTTTTTCTAAGTAATCAACCTCTAGAAGTATGGCCAGAAAATTTATTTTTGCCTCATTCCATATCCGGGCAAAGCACATTCTAAAATGAATAATAATGAAACAAAAACCACGTCATTGTTTTATTCAACATTGGATAGTACAGAGGTGCAATTATCTCACAATGCCGTGCGTTGTTACATTCACTGTACTTATATTTGCATTGGATTATATTATTATAGCAATTATTTAGTTTTTGGATGTTTTTGTAACACGCAGCGCTATTAGTTATGTGAATGTGGTCTTTAGTAAATGTAGCAACTGCAATATGTACTCACTCACATAAATACTTAATAGTCTAGTTTTTACCATGCGTGGATGATAAAATCTATGCAATGTAGTCTAGAATGTTACTGTTCATCACTGTTATTCTCTTGATTAATCAGAATATAAAGTATTTGTCTCCATTTCAAATATGTAAATATTTGTCGTATAGATGATTGAGTAGTTTAATAATACGGACTATGAAGTTCAGACCACGAAACCTTCAATTCACGATCTACTTCAATCACATCATTAAGAGTAAAATATTAACTTCTAGTTAGTTCTTCAAATTTATATAGGATCATATGGGAAATACCAGTTTTCAAATAAGAAAACCCTAGAAGGATATAGGTAGGGAGCCTCGGGGCGAGCTCCTTTGCTCCGGCATCAATTCCGGGGACCACAACCCGCGGGGGACTGGGTTTTAATCCCTTGATGGTAGACATAACACAATATTTACACTTAACCTAATTTAAGAACTAGTGGACTAGTACCTGGAGTTTTTATAGTTTTTTTCTATTATCCAAATATGGCACTTCTAAAGCATTGGTTCCCTACCGCCTCGTGTCCTGGTATTTACGGGGGCTCAACCCCAAAATGTGGATGTGGGGTGGTAGATAAGTTGGACAATCAGTAATTATAACTACAGTAACATACTGGTGCGACGTAAATGAATACTGTAATTAGATCGATGTGGATAACTTCATTGAAGCAGATGTTAATGATGTTATCATTACGAGATATGACACAAGACACGTTCTGAGCACGATAAAAACGTGGGAGTTACCGAGTTCATTGTTTTTGTTCCTTAAGATAAGAGATGAATGAAGATCAGGGTCGGATGTGCGTTCGTACGTGTCGTTTCGTTTGGCTTTTTCATTACATACTGATTTCAGTATTTATAGAATCATGATAAAATATTCTTAAAAATTAGTCAATAGGCAAATTCTACATAGGTATTAATTGGGTTTTTAATTTATATTTTTTATTTTACATACATACTCATATTTTATGTTGTGTCTGTGAGCTATGTCCATACTAATATAATAAATGTGAAAATTTTGACTATAGATCTATTTGATACCTTTTCATTATTAAACGGTTGAATGGCTTTAAAGAAATTGGATATGACTTTTATCTCAAAAAAGCAGATGTAGGTATGATAATGTAAAAGTCTGACATTATATGTATAAATTGATATAATAGGTTCTTTATCTTTAAATACTTCATATTATAACGTGATCTTAAAAATGAAAGGTCTATCGATTATTATATAATCATGTATCTTCCTTCACCTTTGTTACATTAGCACCTCAGTATGTTGCAATTTGAATTCTTTTAATAGTGATGTACATCAATAAATATTTTTTACAATATTAAAGATTGATATGACTATATAAATTATTTCATGGATGAGAGATGAGATGCTTAAATAATTGAAATAGCCAAGGCTACCTTACCTATAGCTTTTGCCTATATATTAGTAGGTATAGTTTAACCGCGTATTAATATTTATTTATAAAAATACGCATTCTAAAAACATATCATTTACTATATTATGCTATGTAATCATTGTAAATTTCCACCACAATAAAATACAGTAATTCTGTACATGCACAGTAAACAAATATTCACAAACTGACACATAGCATCTGAATGCGATAAATCATACATAGAATGGAGTACAGTTACATTGATAATCCTGAAAGCAGAAATCGACTTTACATCAACAACATATTCTATCATATTCAAGTTATAAAAAGAAAATAAAATAAAACCTATACGAGAATAACATTGAGAGAATTCAGCTCTTGTTCACAGTTAAGAATAAATCTCAAAAATCGTTTTCTTATACTTACATTGTACGTATAAACTTAAGTATACGTTTTAGTAAATAGATGCGTTTTAGAATTTTTTTTTGTGTATATCTAGTTATACTTAGATAAAGGTTGATATTCGTATTAAAAACACAGGTTGCTATTAATAAATATAAGCTTAGAATATATGCTATATAAAAAATAACATTAGGCTATAGGCTCAATAATAATCTATGAACCGTAAAATAGTAAAAATGTTACTGTACGGGACTAGTACTCGTACGTCTTCTCTATAGTCTCAATATATCTGTCTCAGTGTATCTTAACTCAGCTTGCAAAAGATATTACAGTTGTGCAGAATCTCGTAATTAGATTTTATAGCCGATTACGCATTAACTACAGTTCTATAAATAGGCACCTATAAAGCCAACACGCGTAAATCTGTTCGCGAAACTCAAAAATTAAACCCGTAAAATATTTATGGAAAGACATTACTTTAAAACTACTGAATGTTAGACAGGAATTAAAAATAATAGTACTTTTATTTCACTGACTATCAATTAGGCGTATGAACTAATAAAGGTAGGTTAATTTGTTAGATCAAAACTCCATCTATTAGTCTAGATTTATGTATTCTATTATATTTATCCATACTAAACATAAATATAAAAATATGTTTGTTTGCTCTCTTTGCGTCTAAACGGCTAAACTTATCTTCAGGAACTTTAATAGGTATACAAGGACACACATAGTATTAAACTACATTTTTTTCCTCGAATGGGCTTGGTGGTCAGCACACAGCTTTACTTTTGATGTTCACGGCTATAACCATTTTTATGCCTCATTATGATTGTTTGTATCCATCTGGGTATTTTTATGTATGCATTTACAAAAAAAAATCATCCATGTATGTATATCAATTGTCTAGAACCGACAACACAAACTCTCCGTGCTTGGGACTAGATAGCGCTTGTAGTTATGCTGTTAACAATGTCTTAATTGATCAAAATAGTATTTATCTAATTAGTGTAATCATCACTAAGGTTTAGAGAAAGGTGTTTGGTAACGATTTCTTATCTTATGCAAATGTTCAGCAATTATAATGAATATATTATTAACAACAGAAACAAAACCGCAATGCGTGAAATTTTGTTTATTTAAAATAAACTCCGGCATCAGAAGTATAAAAAAGACAATTGTTTGCTACAGTCGTATGAATGCGATTACTGAATGGATTGCGATTTTATTGAAATATTTGTCATAACATCATTGGAGACATTATTGATTCATCCAGTTACAATAGCAAATGCAGCTGTTGTTCTTGTTATGTCATTGCATCGATGTTATTCAATTTTGCAAGTGATGTAACTACCAACACAACGACAGCTGGATTTAGTTCGTTGGGTTTTATTTCGTAAAATATTGTGCTATCGTTGAAAGTTCTCGTTAACGATTATTATTCATCTCATTAAGTAGACAGAATAGGCCGTTTCATTCAGAAATCAGATTAAATTGTAAATTAGTGTTAAACTATAGAGATTCTTGAAAACTGGAGCTGCAACTTGGAATGATTGGGCATTCAAGTCTGTTGACAACATCTTAACTACATTTACAATATTTTTAAGTTTGTTTAATTTTTATATCTATATTAAAGTACCTACGGTGAGTACTTTACATTTACCGACAAGTTAAATATGTAATTTAATATCAAATAGAATAAAGTACAGGAATAATATACCTATATGCTATGCCAAACGAGTAACTGATGTCCGCTAGTTGTCAGTTGTAGTAGTTGTTTAATGTCATAAAGTTTTGTCCGTTTTTGAGATGCATTCAATCATTCTGTTCGCGTATGCAATCAGTCAGGCTCACTGGCCAACCGTTGCGAGCGGTTTCGCTATAGGCACATTAATATTTCACAACACTAGATGTTCATGCACACCTGCACTTTACGACTAAGTGATGAAAGTTCGGCGGGCAAAGATGGAACATATCATTAACGCCAGATACCAAGCTATGTTATCTTACTAACAAGAAACTATTTTCCTACACTTGAGTGCCAGTTTTCCGTTATTACATTTTACTAAACTCGTGAGTGTTGGAATTATCTAAAAT